TGCTTGTTTGTTACACCATTTAAATGATTTCATTTTCACACTTTAAGATCTAAAACGCAACAACAATACTCTCAGTATTACATAAACTATATCCATTATACATTGTATATATATAAACATTAATAGCTAAACAAAAACGTTTATAGGAATGGATTGAACAAATACTCTTTTGTTCGCAGGACTTTCTTTTTTGTGTTTGATAGGGATTGCAATAAGGCTAAAGGAAATATAATTGAATTATTAACTGCACACCCAAAACGGGCATGGATTCATAAATTCTCGAACATGATAAAACCAAGCATTTCCTCTTAATAGTTTCATATAATATCAATCATCCATTCCGGGTTCGCGTAAACCATCCGAGTGCATTTTCTTGCCAGAAATTTCCAACATAGCGCGATCTTCGAGATTGCTATCCAGCACCGAACGTTTCTGAGGGTTTCAGGTAATATAGTTATTTATTATCAAAATAGTGTTAAAACTAAACATACCTGCTGACCCTCGCCTTCTTCATCTCCTTCTTTTATGGGTAAATCTCCCACGGCCCAAACTTCCATGTTTCGTATTTTGAATTGCTTGCGTTTACTGTGGAAAGATCAATATAAATTATAACATATTTTGTGTTAATTTAAATTATGAAACATTTTCTGATCACAAAATATTAATGGAAATGTACTCACCTTAATTGCACATAATCTCGATATGTGGTGCAGCTTTCAACGCTCTGTCCATCGCCAAAACTGCAGTCAATCCACAGGCCCCAGAAATCGAACTGTCCGCCCATACCCTATGCACGAGATATAAACAATTAGCAGAGCCATCAATCAATTACTTATAAACATTACTCACCAGGCCATTCGGCATAGTCTGCTGATTCAAATTCAAATACTGATAGTGATCGTTATAAGTTGTTGCCGAGAAGCACCGCATGGCAGGGCTTAAGGTGTAGAGCAAGGAGTTGTCATCGCCCCCGAATTGGGGTTTCACTGACCACGTTTCGGACGCATAGCCACCAAATATGTATTGATCCTCGTCCTCGATGAAAAACAACGTGGGTCCCTTGTCCAGGACTTTTCCCAGCATCGTTGAGAAGCTTTCGCCGTTGATCTTCGATGAGAAGAGAAAACGCCACTTGTGGCGATGCTCGCGGGGTAATTGAGCATTGATATAAAGGACGTGCGGCAGTTCGATGATTGGGCGATAATGACTGTTTTGAGGAGCATCTGAAAATGAGAGCATTCATTTATTTCTAGTAGCAGATTTTTCATGTTACTTGCTCATTTAACTTATTAATCTTTTGAAGATCAAAAAAGTTGAATTGCAATTTGCTTACCACACAGTTCTGGTAGAATGGGAATTTCCATTTCCTTGATTAAGTTGCGTTTGCTGCCACCATGACGACAATACAGCTGACTGAAGACCTCGCGCCAGATCTGCAGAAACTGCGGAGTGACGTGCAACCAACGTTCCAGGGCCTCAGTGGGCATTGTGTGCTCCAGCTCCTTGCCCAGATTTCGCATCAGGCCCTTGGCAAAGGTGGCCGCGGAACGCTCTGTGGTATTGAAGCCCAGATCCTGCCACTCCTTGATGCTCGAGTTCTTGGCAGTGCTCTCCAAATGCACGTAACTCTTGATCACCGAGTAGATGTACTAAATAAAAATTAAATTGATTCGGTTATATTAAAAATACAGAAAAATATTAAACAGGGTATAATAAATAAACAAAATGTTGACAAAAGTATAATATTAAGATCAAAGCGAGACCCGATTCGATAGCATCGAATTATAATAATATTTTACCGATGTTTGATAATGTTTACTTAAATCCCACAAACATTCGTTTATTTATAGACTCACTTGCTCCAATTGCTTGCTGTTGAAGGTGTCATTTCCACTTCTTTCCATCGAGCCCAGTAGCATTTGGATCTTCTGGTCCATACTTCCCCGCTCCATTATATAGTAGGGCTCGCCGAATTTCCTTAGCTGTATGTTGACACATTGCTGACCAGGCTTCGTCGGTGTAAACAGATACTGAGCCGTACTTTCGGCCAGCGAACGTTCAATGGTTTGCGACCAAGTTTCCTGTTTTCAAAACAAAACAAAAGATATAAACAAAATGAGCACCGGATACGTAAACATAATTTTCCCGCTGCTGTCAGCAAATTCTTGCAGGGAACGAAGGTCTGGGAAGCGCTGACACAGATTAACCCATTAAGAACCGCTCGCAAACAAAAAGCTATTTATGCTTATATTTTTGAGTGGGTTTTCATTCAACATGGGTCGCTTGCAAGATTGTATTAATATAATCAAATTTAATAGTTAAAATTTTTGTATTTTAGAAATCCCGCTATTACTTCATACTGAAAAACGTTTCTGTTCTGAGCAATGATTATTAAATTTATGTGAATGCGGGACCATAATGTATGCCGCAAACGGGTTAAGCATATTGCTTATTTTTAATTCAATTGGGCTGGCCCTAATTGACGACCCCAGTCATCGGAATCACGACTAATTCGTTAGCAAGCAAATTCAACAAAGCAAAAGACAAACAACGAAATGCGACTGCAAACAAATTAGACAAATTGTCGATCCGTTTGCAGAGACCCAGGAATTATCAATTCATAACTGATAACACCTCCGTTGTTATACATAGATATCGAATTTCGGTATACCCTAGCGAATGTGGTGTTAATCACACTTGGACTATAAATAGATCAAATAATCAACATTTAAAGGAATCATCTGGTTACAAACAAACAATTTTTGAATGGTTGCATTTCCGTCATCTGTTGTGGTAAAAATAAAACGACTGAGAAATCTGGGGGCCTTGAACCGGCATCGGGAAAAGTTATATCACAAGCGTTTTTTAGATTATAAATTGTGTGCGATAAAGTTGAGTAAACTTAGTGGGTTAATACCCTAGATAATACCTATATGCATTTTCTTGTTATAAAGTAATTGTATTACTGTTATTTAACACTTTATTAGATTTTGGGGTTATTAACCTTTTATGACTTCTATTTATAAAGTTGTACTTTGCAGTTTTTGAGGTCAAGATCTTATTTTTAAGTAGTGGAGAAAGTTTTTATACTTTTCATTGCGTAAAAATACACATTTTCAAAATTTCACATGCACAAAAAAAAATTCTGTTGCTACAAAAATATTCAAAATGGGAGTCCTGAAACTTACATCGAAAATAATCTTTTTTCAAAGAAGTGTGTCAAATTTTAAACCGTTATAAGTTAAAATTTTAGGATAAATTAAAAATTAAATTTGAAATTAAAAAATTTTAAAAATTTTCAATAACAAATTTAAAAACAAAAATGGGCAGTTTTGAAATTTTTTTTGAAATCTTGAATGTTTTTGGAAAAATACCCTTTCATAGGGTGACAATCGCAGCAGTGGATGGCCGTTTGTCATGAACTCAAGGGCCCTGATATTTTATTTTGTTGTTGAAGGAAGTTCACGCCGCGCGTCCTTGAACTTGTGACCCTGACCCCGCGCCATTGCAGCCTGCAGTTGGCCATTGATTTTCGCACTCACACCACACACGTGGCACTGGAATTCCCACTTACCACCAGCCTGTCTTGGGTCATCTTCTCAAGGGCTCCACCTGAAGCGTTTTTGTACGCCGATTCCAGCATGCGAAGCTCCTCCGACGTGTAGAGATTATCCGTCTCCCGCTTGCCACTCGCATTTCCCATTTCCCACGCGCAGAATTAGTTGGCTGATATTACGACAGCAGGTAAACAAACAATGCAGCTGCTGCTTCTTATGATCGCGGATTTTAATTGAAAATAAAAAACAAACAACTCGACCAGGGCTGGAACTAAAATCGATTTCAGTTCAATGCTATCGATGTTTCTACACTTTCGGCGATAGTTTTTCGAGTTGCCAACACCGCTTGAATTGGTTGGTGTACTAGCTATGGTTGCAACCAAATATTAAATTTAAAAATAATTAACCAGTAAATTTGTTATTTAAGAAAAAAAGCATCTTTGCTTTACTTATTAGCAGATCAAAAATAATAATTCTGATGGGGATTTATTATTTGTTCCACATCAATAAACAATGGTGCGTTTTCGACCAAAGAACAATATTTACTAAAATTATGCACCCATATTAATGAGAAAAGTACACAAATGATTTCTTCGCACAGGTATAAAAGACAAAAATTCAGAGATTATCAAGCAGTAAATCCGAAATGTTTCTTAAAATCTGTGTATTTTTAACAGTACTGGGACTGTGTTCTCTGGCTGGTGCCTATCGAATTATTCCAAGCATTGATGATGGTAATATTTAATTTATAAAAAAAACTCTTTTTAAATGAATTGACACTTTTAATAGGCATCCAAGTCAATCAAAATGTAAACACCACCCCCTTTGTAAAGATTGGCAATGGTTATTATTACTTCGATACCGTTGGTGAAAAAAACTGGTTTGATGCCTTCGAGTCGTGTCGGCAAATGGACGCAGATCTAATATCGTTTGAGTATATTGAGGAATGGAATTTGATTAATCAATATATATTAGACAACAAAATAGATCATTTATATTGGACCTCTGGCAGTGACCTAGCGGATCCCGGAAAACATAAGTGGTTCACAAATGGCTTACCAATAATATTAAACATTTGGCTTGAAGGAGAACCAAATAATCTGGGTGGAAATGAACGTTGCGTAGAGTTAGGAAAAGGAAGAGCTGGAAATAGTTACAACGTCTTGAATGATGAAAAGTGTTTGGAAAAAAGATTTTATATATGTAAAGCTCGCCAGCCCAAGACCGCTTCATTTGTTATCTGGTAATCCATTTATGAAAATGTACTTTATTTTCAACATTTTATTCAAATATATTATGTATAGGATTATATTGAACCACAAGAGTTGGAATAAATAAAGTATAGTTATTTTGTTTCCAACAATTATAACCTTTTATGACTTATCGATATCTTTATCTTTATCGGGGGCATTTTTTAAATTTCACTTGGTTACCTTAGCAACATGCCGTGTTAAATCAATTGCCTAGCCCAAAAATTCTCTCACTCAAAAAAACACAATAAATTCCCATACATAGGACAAAGAACCCGGCATACCGATAGATATTTGAGAAATCCCACAAGGAATCCACCACAAAAGAAGATGATTGTCACCAGTAGCGGGACTTCTCATCAGCGGGGCCGAAAAATTCGGGAACAGTGCGGATCCTGTCCGAATCGGTTCTCCAAGGACAAGCGGCAGGTGATCGCCGAGGATTCGGATACCACGGAGGTGGAGTCGGACACGGATGAGGAGGACCGCTGGAAGGAAGTGGCACGGGCCTCTGAAATTCCGGCCGACTATTATAATATCCAGAAACTGGTCAAGTACATCAAGGCGGGCAATCAGACAGCCACTATAGTATCGTTGTGCTGCTTAAAGGACTACGATCTGAGTACCCAGATCAATCAGTTCGCCATCTCGGACATCGGGGGGCTCGATGTCCTGGTAAATATTCTGGAGTGCAGCGACACCAAGTGCTGTTTGGGTGCCCTCACAGTTCTCTCGGATATCACACTGAACATCGATATAAGGAAGACCATCGTGGACTTGGATGGCATTCCGCTGATAGTGGACATTTTGAACTCCTCGATGAAGGATCTAAAGACAATGGCAGCCGAAACACTGGCGAATGTGTGCAAAGTGCGACTGGCGAGGAAGTATGTGCGCACCTGCGGGGGAATCCCCAAGCTGGTGGATCTCATCGATATTAAATTGAGGTGAGTTACCTAATACCTAGAAGAGGTTTTTTAACAGGTTTTTGTGTGCTCATGGCGATTTTTAAACATGGTATGAAATATAAAAAATGATCAAACTAGTTTTAAAACCAAAAAATATTTCAATATTTATTTTAAAAAATGTGTTAAAATCATATTTTCAAAGATAAATTCAGAAAGCAATCCATCATGAAAGCATTTAATGGTATGAAATATAAAAAATGATCATAGTTTTAAAACAGCGGTCGGCAGCGCCCTATTAAGTGAGCATAGGGTTTTGTTCTGCCGCCGCGCTGCTCGCACATGTATAACGTAGAACAGCGGTCTGCACACACACATCGATGAGCTGCCCAGTGCAAATTACTCACACAAATATAAAACAAAATGTCAACGTATGTGTGTGCCGACCGCTGTTTTAAAACCAAAAAAAAATATTTCAATATTTAATTAACAAAAAGTTTTAAAAACATATTTTCAAAGATATATTTTCAAGATAAATTCAGAAACAAATTCGTCAGAATTACCTGAACATGTTTCAGCATTTCATGGTACGAAATATAAAAAATGATCAAACTATAGTTTTGAAACAAAAAAAATATTCAATATTTAATTAACAAAATAGTTTTAAAAAACATATTTTCAAAGATAAATTTTCAAGCTAAATTCAGAGAGCAATCCATAAGAAATACCTGAAACCGTTACAGCATTTTAAAGACCCCTCGTGACACACTGAGTGCCGATGATCTAGAATCGCTGGATATGACACGAGCTGGAGCCCGAGCCCTTTTCACCCTGGCCGATTCCAAGCACAACATGGAGCAGATGCGCAAGAGCGGAATCGTTCCTTTAATGGCTCAGCTTCTGAAGTCCTGCCACATCGATGTGGTCATCCCCATAATGGGCACCGTTCGCAAATGCTCCTCGGAGCCGAAATTCCAACTGGCCATCACCACCGAAGGCATGATTCCCGACATTGTGACCCATTTGAGTTCCGAGAACACCGAACTAAAGATGGAGGGCAGTACAGCGATATACAAGTGTGCCTTCGATGGAAATACCAGGGATTTGGTTAGGGAGGCTGGCGGCTTGGAGCCCCTGGTTACGATCATTAAGGACAAGAACTTAAGGGACAATAAACCCCTCTTGAGGGGCGCCACTGGAGCGATTTGGATGTGCGCCGTTACCGATGCGAATGTCAAGGTATTGGATCAACTGAGGACGGTCAACCACTTGGTGGCCCTGCTGAATGACGAGTGTGACGAGGTGCTGACCAATGTCACTGGAGCTCTTTCGGAATGCGTGAGGTTCCAGAGCAACCGGGAGCAATTGCGTCAGGCTGGAGGATTGCCAGCCATGGTTTCGCTGCTCAACAGCTCGCACGCCCCACTCCTAGAAAATCTGGCCAAGGGTCTGAAGGAGTGCGCCGAGGATCCGGAGAGCATGAGGATCCTGGAGGATCTAGATGCGGTTCGACTGATCTGGTCTCTGTTGAAGAACACCAGCACAAGGGTTCAGGCCCATGCAGCCTATGCCATTTGCCCTTGCGTTCGTAATGCCAACGACTCCGCCGAATTGGTGAGGAGCTTGGTGGGCGCCATGGAACTGGTGGTGGGTCTCCTAAAGTCCAAGGATATTATGGTTCTATCCGCCGTTTGTGCGGCCATCGCTACTATTGCCCAGGATCAAACCAATCTGGCCATCCTAACCGATCTGCGGGTCATCTATAAGCTGGCCGATCTTGTCCAGACCACCGACGATCTGCTGCGCATGAACTTGGCCGCCGCCGTGGCCGCCTGTGCCTGTTTTGGCAATAACACCGAGGAGCTGGGACGCCTGCGCACGGTGACCCCAATTGTCACCTACATGACCAGCGACAATCCCCTCGTGCATCGCAGCACGGCCATGGCCCTGGAGAAGCTATCGATGGATCCGCAGAACTGCATTACCATGCACCAGGTGGGAATCTACTTTAGTAGCTTACTAATTTCGAAAAATATTATTTATAATTTAATATTTTTGAGCAAACTTTTCCCAATTTAATCTACTTTATTATTTAACTTCCTTTAGAGTGGAGTTGTTCCCTTCCTGCTGGAGTGCATTGGATCCACCAATAAGGAGCTCCAGTTGGCCGCCGCTGGTTGTCTGAGGAATATCCGAGAACTGGCCTTGCGGGCCGAGGAATATCTGCTCAAAATCGACGATGACTAGCTTGTTTTTTGCTTTGTTATGTTGTGTAATTGCTATTCGACTAAATATATACGTCAGTGCTAGCAATTACCTTTTAAAAAGTTATTAAATAAAGTGATTTTCAGCACCTTTAGTTACAATTAATTAAAACAAATATATGTAAGGATAATAAAATCATTATATATAGAATTTTGATATCCGAATTTTTATTTAGATTTCTTAATTTTCGGAAACAAGGTATCAAAAATGTTTACCAATACAGCTTTTACTTCTAAAACAGTTCGATCCTTTTTTCACTGCATACTTTTCGACGCCTTTGTAATTGATTCCAAAACCGTTAAGATTTCCCTCCCAAAAAAAAACGAACTGCTTTCCATGACAATAACATCTAGCTATATATTTGTCGCTACACTTTGACTAACTAAGCTCGACCCGCCCCGGATTAAAATCCCCTCTCAATAACTGGCGTTGCTGCCCCTGGTGGAGATGCTCATCCGTCGCTCCACGCGATTCGTGTGTGGCAATAAACATCCTGGCGGTGGATACCTCCATCTCCGCGGTCGCGACAACAGAGTTCCATCCGTTGAAGCTCTACTTCGAAAAGGGGCATCGATATCGCTGCGCGAACTGCTCAAACTACTGCTGGCAATCTCATCCGTGGACTCCGTGTGGTCACCACTGCTCTCCTCCAAGCAGGCGCTTCCGATGACCAGAAAGGAACGTCGACCGGCGCCCAAGGACGAGGCGTCGTAGAAGGAACAGGATCCCGAATCGGGGGTAAGCACCCCATCCGTATTGGCTACATCGCTTGTAGAGCGCTTGAGCTTTGGGAATTTACTGAAGACCCGCCAAAAGCGAAAAACATCGCGAAAGACGTTCTGAACCTAAAATAAAGGATTTGATAAAAATAGTAATAAAATATAATAGTTCTCTAGTTTCAATATATTTATAAATAATGTTTGTATTAACTGATTTTTCTTCTTACCTGATCAACACTCTCCCTAACGGAAATCTCATGAAAACAGGCGCAGGATAGCTCTTTAAACCGACGCTGACCTTCCTCTAAGCTCACCATTCTATCCCCCGGTTGATCTGTCTTATTACCCACCAATATGACAGGAATATCCAATATGTAGTCCTGGAAAACGAAGTAAATATTATAAATGAAACTAAGAGATTACCATTACTCACTTTACTGGCCGAGCCCAACTTGCGTCTCCGTTTGTTGTAATTGATGAGGAACTTTAAGCGACTGCACTCATCGAAGGAACACTTGTCTGTGATGGAATACATAAGAATAAAGGCGTCGGCCCAGCGAATATTAGACTCCAGACTAACGCCATCTAGCTCCTAAAAAGTAAATATTTTAAATAAATACTTGAGAACTTCAAGTGAAATTTAAAACCCACTTGCAGCTGACCGGTGGCATCCAGAATGTCAAACTGGATTTGCTCCTTGTCCAGCGTGGTTTGGCAGGTGTAAATCTTCTCCAAATTAGGATCATATTCGCCAATAAAGCGTCGGGTAATGAAACGCACCACCATGGCTAAATTTGAAAAGTCCCTTAAGTTTGGAATTCCTTTTTTTTTGGGAGGTGAGCGGAGAACTCACCCGTTTTTCCCACGCCACTTTGGCCCAAGACCATAACCTTCAGAGTCTTTTGTTTGTTGGTATGCAGGCCCAACTTGACCAGCGATGACTTTGGCGAGGTGGCATTCATTGCAGATACCAGGAACAATAGTCTGGAAAATATAATAAAAAACGTTGTCCAAGTGAGAAGAATATTAGAAGAAAAGTTATTCATGCGACTTGGGAATACCCATATTTTGAATGTGATAAAATTATATTATATTCATTTTATTTGTATTAAGTTTAGAATGTACAGAACTAATAAAAAATATTTTATTCAGTTTAATTTAATCTACAAACTATCATATTTTTCATAAGAATAAAATAAAACAAAGCAGAATAGCTATGGGTCTTCAATAATTGCATTATAGACACATTATTATTTATTTTAAATTTTAAAATATTTATTAGAGTACTTATATTATTATATTATATTATTTAAACACAAAATGCTAATATGACATTTTAATCTATTCCAGGGTATCTTCGGTATTTGGTTTGGGTCTGGGTGTTAACGTCTCGTATTTCCGAGACAATATGTCTGTTGGGACTGAGTGACACGACCTTTGTTGACCCAAAATTCCTGATGCTGTTATGGCTATCTCCGAGCTCCTTAACCCACATCAAAATGGTTCTGCACTAAAGAATGGGACTAGACTAGCTCGCTTTCTAATTTCGGACATCAACTTCCAGCAATATTGCATATTTATCCCGCCTGAACACAACAAAGACAGGCCAATCTTGTACACCACACTCAAAAGAAAAATGTTTTCGACATTTACATAGAAATTTCAATTAATTACGTTTTAATTATTAAAGTTTTAATTATTAAAAATACTCTAAAGTAAGTAAATAAATTACACAATTATTGTATTGATAAATGTCATAATAAATAAAACTTAAAGTAGATTAGGTTTTAATCGAATTAAACCTTTCAGCTTAAAATATTTCGATAATTGTCCTTGTTGATATTTATGTTCCTTACGTTTTTTTTAAGTGCTCAAATTTCAAAACCCAGCAGGAACAAACGCTAAACAAAAGACGTGCGGTTTGTGTGTTTTTTATAGCCACCCATGGACATTTCTACACACATATGTCGGGTGTGGATGTGGGAGGAAGAGTGTTTGTGCTTTTGATAAGGTCAACAATGTCAGACTACCGACAACTATGAAACATTTATTGGACACTTTCTGCGCTGTCCTCCAGAAACAGCCGCAGACGCAGAAAAAAGCGGGAAATGCAGGATACCGCGTTGTCCTTGGCCATTGTCATGGTCATTATTATAAATAATAAGGACACTCCCCGCTAGCCGATTAGCGCAGGATGTCAAAGGATATCAAAATATGGCACAACTACTTTCTGAGAAACGAGCAACAAGTGACAACAATAAAATATCAATTATCACTTGTCTCGAACGAAATGTCACTTGTTCATTTCGTGTCCTTCAGTTCCGGATATCGATGAGTCCTTCATTTGTGGACATATGTGTGGAGAAGTTCTTGGCTCAGTTCAATGACACGTGCCAGCATTTGTGTTACTTATGTATAATAAAGTGGCGAAAATACTTCATAGTGCAGTGATAAATAACTGCTGATAAATATACTTATGTTTATGAAAAACAAATATCAGTAAAATTAGTTTTTGAATAGCTACTATTCTGACAATAATTCTTAGATTTCCTAACAAATCAATAACATTTCATAAAAGCTAGACCAGTGAATAGCCAACTAAACTAGAATTATTAATGCAACTATTATTTTCATCCCATTACGCAGTAATTACTTAATAAATTGTATTTTCTAAAGATGCTGTCAGCTAAATTTCATTATAGAAAAGATTCCATAATTACTCAGCAACTAAAGCCATTCCCCTTTAATAATTATATTTATACAAATATTATTTTCATCCCTTTTAAATTTATTTAATATTTGTAAAGCGCAGCCATCTCAATTACCTTTTGGGAAAGATCAATCACTATTTCTAAGTAATTAAAACGTATTTTTGGTTCAAGAATAATTGCACATCTTTTAAGGTTTCGCCGGGCAGCCAAGGTATTGAATTGTAGCAAACTCGTAGACAAAGTGAAACAAATGAACTCGACGGCGCAGACGAGTTGTGGGCGAAACTAAGTCCAGCTTACCTCACCTCATCTGAAAACCAGAGCCGCACGATTGCTGTGCTTTCTCCGCTCCAAGTTTTGCTGCGTAGATTTTAATTAGTTGGATTTGAAACTCAAACACTCGACGGTGCGTGCTTAATGAAGCGTTTTCCCGCTTTCCTATTTTCCTGGCTCGAGCTCAGATTCCCATTCCTTCAGACCAGCTGCCGCATTACCAATGCCAACGTGGCGTATACGTAATGCCCAGCATCAAGTGGTTTTTGGGGGCGGGCTTTAAGCCGATCCGGAAAGTTTTGTCTGTAGCCAGACGTTTTTAATCCCCAAAAGGGAAAAACTTTTGTGCTTCCCTGCTAATTTGTATTTAATTATACATTTCGGTGGAAGTTTTCTTGAAAGGAAGTCTGGCTGCCATGTTTTGGTTTTCACACGCCCAAAAGTATGCTATGGAACTCGTGAATTAATATTATTCTTGCTTCTCCATTACATTTCACTCACTATCCCACACTCCTTTCGATTCATTTTTTATTGCTCAGAATATTTTTTTTAAGACTAAGAAGGATGATGGGTGAGGTCCTTGAACAAGAGATGATTTGAAGGTGAGCAGGCAAAGGGGGATGCACTGAAGCAAGGTGTAAAGCAGCAGCTCGAGCGCACACTAATGAGTTTCCCAGAATTTCTACAAGAGATGGTTAAGGGTATTCGTCATGTAACAGCATCGATGGCCAATAAATGAAATCAAATGGAAACGACTGGTTTCTGTGGCAATGCTTTAAAATGTTGGGGTCTCTTGAAAAAAGAAAATACAAGTCATTGCAGTTGAGGAAGCAACAAGTACGTATTTATGGAAAGATAATTGAGTGGTTTAGTGTTTGCCCGAAATAGACATCAATTTTAAAATTAAATTGATATGTTTGAATTACATAACGGGTGGGTAGATTGGTCTTATGACGAACGGATACTTTAACTTTAACTTGAAAAAATTGTTTTTAGTTAAAAAAGGACAGTAAATATTTCTGAAAGTATTTAATAAATTAAGTCTTTATTTTCTTGTGTTTTAGACAACTAAATAAATATGAAATTTAAACACCTATGCTGATTTGATGCTAATCCTAAAAATTCAAGGCTGTTACCTGGGTTGTTAATTAATTTTAAAACAAAAGAAACACCTTCCGTCCTAACAAACTAACCCAGAATTATGACACTTATACTTTTACTGCCAAAAACTATCCCACATTTGCGTTGTTAGCCCCATCAACTTATCTTTCATCGCACCCTAAACTTACCCCAAACCATCGAGTGCCCCTTATGTCAGGTAATGACAGGACACTCGCATGTCTGAATTATCAGGACGACGACCGGACCTTGGCAAAGGCATTGAAAATGAAAACCCCAGCAGCGAGACGATGAAATGAGTTAGGACCCACTGGGTTGTTGACCTGGTTGTTATGTTTACCAACACAACACATGCGGCTCTATTGCGCACTCAAAATAATTCGGGGTCCAGACGAAATTGAGTTGCGGTACTCTATAGTTTTCCTCCTCCCCGATTTTCAACACCCTGAATGCCCTTCCCCCTTTTTTTTCTTATTTTTTGGCACGTGTTGGGCTGCTGTAGTTGTCCTAGCCCGAAAGTTGATTGGGTTGATGAGGATGATTATGCCGTTTGGAGTTCCACGGAAAACAAATCAAACTGCCCAGCCAACAAGTGGTTGTTCAGGAAATGAGGGGGCGATGGGTTTGGGTGTCGAGTTGTTGGGTTGTCATGGTGCCAACCAATTCCACTTTCGGCTAAGGCTAAGGTCATGGGAAGTGCGCCACTTGCCATGCGGCCCATTGTTGATGATTGGAGTTGCCCACTCCAAGCAGTCTCAATGCCCCTGCCCAAACCACTTTTTCCACGTTTTTTGCCTGTCATTTCATTTTGGTATCGAGCAGCAAGTTAACATTACCAACACTTACACACGAAGAAAATGTATTATTTTAGATAAAAATGTATGATTGTCACATGATTAATTAAAAAAAATACAAAAATTTTGTGCAATAACTAAATATTTTTACTGAAGGGAAAAAATAAATATGAATTTTTATTACCACTTTGTAATTCAGAAATTTAATAATAAAATATAATTTTATTAAAATATTTCTATGACATTTTCTTTCACTGTGCAATAACAGCGAATGTTGCCATTGGTTTTCTCTCCGTCACTCAGTTTGTTTTGCTGTGCGGCCATGAAATTGAAAATGCGTAAAAATCGCCGGAGTTGGCGGTCAATTTCCTCCACATAAGTATTCACCTTGAGTGGGGTTTAAATATATATAAAAATAAGTCTATGAAAAGAAATTTCTTTCCCTCTTTTGTTGGGTAGCCTTAGATGCAGACATTGCTAAATCAGCCTCATAAATACAAGTCAAGCGTCATAAATGTTTTTTTTAGTTAGACTCACACGGGTGATTTTTTGTTGACTAAGCATTTAAGTAAACATAGACACGGGTTTTTTTTTTAAAAGGGCTATGTAATGGTCAACGAAAAGGAAAGGCTCAAAAAAAATGTGAAGGGATTAAATGGAAAATAAGGTGAAGGACAAAACTTAAACAGTTTTAAGCTGTTTGATATTTGAGATGGTTCTAAAGTTGGGTCGTGTTTTGAAGGAAGAAAACTTTTATTGCAAAATAATGAGCGGACAAAACAAAAATTTAAGAAAATAAGCGTTTAAACCGCTAAAGGGTGATTAATTTAAATTTACAATTTAATATTTCAACCTTACTTTAAACCACTTTCTTAACTCCCAAGTAATAAGAGGAAACAAAAATGTTCAAATTTTCTGTGAAAATATGGATTTTCTTATATCAGACATCACCCACTGCGCATAATTATTATCAAATATGGCAGGCTTTTATCTGCTTATTTCCGTTCCTCTTTCATTCCAATAAAAATTGGGTTTTCTCATAAATATCAATGGAATTTATGATGGTGAACAGCGCTTC